ATAATATCGTTTACTGAGTAGACAATTCTTAATATGGGTTTTAAATTTAGGCAATAAATTTAAACTTTCCATAGGAATTTTATTATAGTAGTGTAGTACCTTGACCCATAACTGTTGATAGAACCTTCTTTAGCCTGCATGACGGCAAAACAAGTAAACCAAAACGTAATCACAGATCCTAATAAACAACCACAAATTTAAAAACTAAATGTCTTTTCTGACTACACTAAATTATTAACAAACCCAAAGAAAGTATCTACTTGTTAGATGACTCAATTCAATAGTTCGCAGCTGTCAAAAAAGCATCGGAACGTATAAAAACCACAGTGCCGTTTTAATACGTCCGTAGAGCGATCACTCCAAGGAGATAATTCTTGATTTATAATGATTATCATTTTATTAAACTTGAGTCATCCTAATTCCTGTCTCGGCCAGTTTTTTGCGGCGATCTGATGACCCGACGAGGTAGCTAAAAGAGCTTTGTAATGATGTAAGTAAATAAATCAATTAGAAATTCTTTGGACGCATAAAATAATTAATTTCATTATTCAATTAAAAATGAATCATTGGAAAATTAACATCAAAAATGATATTTATTAAATCAAATTAAATATATATGGAGTATTAAAATAAATATTAGACATCACATACATTGCTCAGATGTCAAGATGAGTGGCTAAAGCTCTATTATGAAGCATCTGAAACAATGTAAGTACAATACCACTTAGATCCGAGACAATGTAGAGAAGTTCACGTTCTGCGTTGACTGTACCGGAAATCGAACGCGAAACCTCAGAGATCAACACATAGAAACCGTCACACATTTAGATTTTGTTTAGTGAATATTGAAATGCATTTTCACCTTAAGAGATTCCTAAGTGTTTAGGCGTCCCCTAAGTTTAGTGAAAATAGGCATTCGTCTTCTTTAGAAATAAAATTATTATTATTATATCTGATCAATTTCTCATTCGCAACGCTATACTGTAAAATATTCTTTATGAAAAATACTTTAAAAAATCCACATGGTCTCTGGCACCCGAGAGGGGATTCGAACCCATAACCTTTGGCAATCCGGGCGACTACTCAAACCGCTGAGTTATCCAGGACCTAACAGGACTGACGAATCTGTCAAGTACTTTTTTTTTTTTTTCTTATTTATTAAGGAACAAACAGTTATACATTTTACTTATCATAATTAAATATAATATATGTTTCTAAACCTACAGTTCCCTCAATGATAACAATCTTTATATATTTTTCTTATGTTAACCTCCGCAATTAAAGAAAGCAATCAAAATTATCAATATAAAGAAAATAAAAGTGTTTAAAAGTTACTGTAAAAAAAAGAAAATCAAATGAAATAACATAGACAAATAATTACAACAATCTTCACTTAAACTTTATATAAGAGATCAGTGATGCGATTTTTAAATATATATATAATATATACTTATTACTCTTTCGTTAGTACAGAGCGTATTCTCATCAATGTTCCGGCAATCCACCGAATCCAATTATAATATTTGATTAATTTCGTATTCACAACGCTATATAATTAGAACAAATTTTCATCTTTATCAAAAGTTTAAAAATTTGTAAAAATATTTCTTTCGGCTGTTTGGGTGATTTGCCTGAGCATTGATGAGAATACGATCTGGAGTAGCGAAAAAATAACAAGTGCTTGAAATATTTGTCAGTCCTGTTAGGTCCTGGTTAGCTCAGTGATTCGAATCCCAGCTCATGGTGCCAGGGACTAAGTGGATTTTTAAGCAATTTTTCATTAAGACTATTATTATTATTAATTATTAATGATAAGGAAATAACTGCCTTTTCTTTATGAAATGACACCTCCAGCTACATCTAACAGTGAGTATACATTTGAACGAAAAGTAGTTTGGCCCTTACCAAATAAAAATGCCATTATTTTAACAAACGCTATCTCCCCATGTCAATTAGGCTCACAGTAGAGCGAAAGCCACTAATCCGTCGAGATAACGACCCGATCCTCGTATTAATCACGTGCCAGAGTCGAATTAATTTATTCGATTCATTCGTATCGAGTTATCGAGATATTCGGATCGGTCGTGGGAACTTTAACTTTGATGATTGAAAAGTGGACTTTTGAGTCAGCTTTGTGATTCTCACGTAGAAACTTAAATAATTATTATTTTATTGCAACTCTCTGATTTAGGTCCCTTCCATGCGAGGTAATCAAAATAATTCTTAATACTTCGTCTTGAGCTCTCAAATTTATATAGGTGAAAAATAACCAGTGTTTTGCAGTACGAACCTTAAATAAGTTTTCCAATTACCATAAGTTTATATATTAACCTTAACTCATAGTATACGGAGCGAACGAACGATTTTTAATTAACTACTAAGTTTAAATATCGAATAAAACTTTTAATTTTATTATAATTAGTAAAAATATTCTTATTACGTGGCAATAATCGAAGTAGCAGTAGGTGGCTGCATTACGTCAACGAACTTATGAATGGATTCGTTTGTGTAACAAATACTACCAACTTGGTGTATACTAGCGCCATCTATTAGCCGCATAGAGTAACAGTCTCTAGTAAAAGACAGTCCATTGGCAACAGAAAGATCAGTCGAGCGTATAAACAGAAATTTGCGGTTGTACACTCGACAGACTGACGGATTATCTGTCGCGAGTACAAAGTTGTCATATTTTGTCAGTTCTACTTTGCTATTCAACGCAAACGACTTCAAAAGACTCGCACTTGGACGATTTTTTAATTTTCAAATGGATATTTTTAAAAATATTTCGTTATTACTCAGGTGGGAAGATGTAGCTTTATAATTATATCCAATGATTATAATATTACTTATACGTAGCCACATAGAGTTTGTACATTTATATCGGTTAAGCCTTTCAAAGTTATGGTGGAATAAAGAAATTTACATACATTTTATTAACCCTAAAAACATATTAACACAGAACATAATACGCTCCTTTTGGGCAGTCGTGTAAAAAGGATTTTATTGTGATCATATTCGTTTAAAACCGTCCAAGTCGCATCGATGTCGTAACCTGTAGTTAACATGTAATTAATGATTTCTGTGATAAAAAAATATATATATATGAGATAAAGAAGAAATGGTAAATATTCAGTTATATTTGGAAATAAGCTCGTTAAACTGTCTCTTCATTGACCAATCCGCGATAAGCCGGCCGATAACCTATTTTCAATTCATTATTAGGCCTAAAAATTACCTTATTTAAAGTCGCTATAGAACATTAAAAATAAAAATAACAGTAGAATTTTGTTTAGGACTTCTTTATTCCAGGTTACATGTTGTCCATCAGTTGCGCCAATCGCTAAGACATTGAGAATGCCAGTTTAATTGCCCATCAAACTGAATGATTGTAAGTACTATATATCCAATGAACATGACCGTTTTATTAGGAGACCAGGTGGAATGCTCATATTACCAACAGATGGGCGAATTGCCACCTGTTGATAAAGAAATACATTTAATTATTGAGCGATACATAAAATAAATTGTTATGATTAATAAAAGCTTCATGTGAAAATAAAGTACGTCTTAACTGCAGATTGAAACTTTTGCTTTGCGAATTTAATACTTTCGTAGCATTTATATGAAAACTATGCATGACATAGCATTCCTTTATGTAATATACTTTCCCGCGTCTTCGTTCGTGTAAATCAGTGGCGTAGTTAGGTAACCTAGGGCCCTGGGGCAAACAAAAAATAGGGCCCACTGCTATCAAAACTGGTAAGGTTTTTTGAAGTAAAATCATTAAATATACAAATACTTTAAAAATGCTAAGCAACTTTATTATCAGCTCTTATTCGTGCATGGGCAGGTAATAAAACTATTAAACATTACTAACACTGTCAACCCACACAAATGATTTAGAGGAATTCCCTTTTTATAACTTTGGAATTTCTCACAACTGATTTGCCATGATTAAACTCGAGTTGTCACCTGTCATATTTATTTTGAAAATGGGAGAAATTTTCCAAAGTTGAGTTCGATTGAGATATTCTGGTAAAGATTCGAGGGCCCCCTGAGCTTGAGGGCCCCGGGGCACTGCCCCGCCTAGCCCCTTGGTAGCTACGCCACTGGTGTAAATTATAGCTTATGTCACCCACGTATGTTGTAGCTATATAAAACAAATTCTAACATAATTAAAACAAACAATTTATTTTAATTATTTAAGAAAACGAACAGTCGTTTACAATTTATATAAAACTAGCTGTTTTCCCGTAACTTCGCACGGATAAATATATCTTTATCGACCCCGTATGTAGTGAAAGATTTTTTTTAATTGGTTCAGTAGTTTCGGAGCCTATCTGATGCAAACAAATAAATTAATAATCAAATGTTTGCTCTTTATAATATTAGTATAGATAAAAAAAACTAAGTACAGTTTTGAAACTGTATAAACATTAGCTAGTTTACTGCTATCATACATCAATTTGATATACCTATTACAATCTGGTATCTTAATCTCTTTATTTGAGCATTTATATTCAAATACTCATTGGTAAACCTTAATATAAAAAAAAAAACTATCAAAACTGCCCCTTCATTTAGCTATCCTACCAGATGACTCAAAACATCTAAGTATTTTTAAATAGTTCCGCGGTAGGTTAATCTGCAAATAGACACAATTTTCTCCATTACCAATAGCATACCAAGAGTATCAACGTAATGAATTTGCGAAAATAACACATCATTAACAATATAACAGCCCAATACAATTAACCAAGCTTACAGATAAAACCCTACCAAACTAAAATGCAAATTTCCAATCATACTATTTATGGTAAAAAGATTACATTGTCCGCAACCGGCTTATCTGTGCATCGCCAGTATTCACTATTTAATTTATTGCAATAAAATAGATAAATAGGCCCGGAATACGTTCCGCGTTCCTTTAATTCGAATCAAGAAAACCTTTTACCAACTTCAGTTTGACAGCTTTAGTGGTGTAGTGGAACAAGTTTACTATGCACACCACCGCCGTTTTTAATCGGGCTCGCTGTAAAATGTTTACGAGCAAACCTGAAATGGAAAAGGAGCATGATATAAAATGTAATTATCGATGGAATGCTAAAGGATTCAATGCATTCAAGCGCATTCAAACATTCTAATAATAAACTAAAAAATAAACTTATGGATTGCTTAGTTTGCTTGTTCCCTAGTTGCAAATATGGTGGCCTTTGATTTCTATATTGAGTTATCATCCCATGTGTAGTCATGCGTTTATAATAAAATTATTGATGTCAATGAAATGTTTTCTATACTGTTTCATATTTTTTAATTGGAATATCTAAGGTGATTAATAAGTGTAGATTTAATTAAAACAATAGATAGTTATATAATTATTATATTTGATCACAATGCTATACAAAAAAATATTCTTAATGAAATATGGTTAATCCACTTTGTCCCTCGCTCTCTGAGATGGGACTCGAACCCGTGACCTTTCGCAATCCGGGCGACTGCTCTAACCACTGAACTACTCTGCTTAGCTTACTTACGAAACTTATTACTTTTTCCCTACTATAGAGCGTATTTTCATCAATGTTCAGGCAATTCACCCAAACAGCTGAAAGACTATTATTACAAATATTTAAACTCCAACGATAAAGATAAAAATTTGTTTTAATTATTATATTTGAGCAATCTTGCATCTCATTATAGCTCAGTGGTTAGAGCAGTCGACCGGATTATGAAAGGGCATAGGTTCGAGTGCCAGGTACAAAGTGGGTTTTTTAAACATTTTTCATTAAAAATATAATATAATTACCTAAAACGGTTTGCAAAATGTAAAGTATCAATTGTAATATCTATCTATACCGATATAAAGAGGTAAAGTCTAACTTTGTCTCTTTACAGGTGGTAATCTTCGGAAATACTGATTCTATTATGAAAATTGTTTCTCCTACAGAAAGCTACATAATACGCGAGTGACATAGGCTATAATTTACATGAACAAAGTCACGAGATAATAGCTAGTTTAATAATAAAACACTCCTACAAATATGGAACATTTTTGAACACACACTACCACTAAATAGGGTTGTGAGAACATGTAATCAAAACGGTAACATTGTCCTCAGGCTTTCGAGAGTCGGCCTTCCTATACGCCCTCACGGCTGCAGGGGTGGCACACTCGGTGGCCCGCGCATGCGCACAAGGGCGGCTGCTGTCCTGCGGCTGCGACCCCTTAGGGTACCGCACCTCCCACGACCCGCGGAGGGCGCGCGCCAACAAATGGGAATGGAGCGGCTGCTCCCACAACTTGGCATACGGGATTGAATTCTCAAGGAAATTCTTGGACGTCAGAGAAAAGGTTGACGATTTGCAGTCGAAAATCAACGTGCATAATAACAACGCTGGACGATCAGTAAGTTTTTATGCTTTTATATAAAATAAATGGATCATTTATGTTATGTCAATAACATCTTAGTAAATTTATTTCGGAAATTCATCCGGATTACTGTAACTGGTATTTTTATGATACAGAAGGGAAAAGTCGAATAGAGAGACATTACTACACTAGTTTTACTTAACCGCTACTAAAAATAAATTTGCCGTTCCAAGCTTCAGACTCCAAAAAACCAGAGGATCATTTCTGGGCAAATGCATTGCTATGTTCAGTGAAGTTCCACAAAATGTAATTGAGCTACCCGTAAATAAATTAAAAATTCATGTAACGAACATACTTATGAGTAAAGGCTATTATTAAGTTGATTATTTTAAGGATGCATGGAATTAATAGCCTTCGCTTTGTTCTATAACGACTAATTATATGTACCAACCTATGTCCTACAGACTTTGAAGATTATATTTATTATTGTTATAAACCGTACTATTACGGTAATGATATGATTTATATAAATGTCATTACTTGTGATAAAGAGCTGGTAAGTTTCTTTCGCTTGTTCTTCTTGTCAGCTAAAAGACGTCCTGGACGAGTGGTAGGGGAAAAAATTTGGACGATTCAAAAGTGCTTGTAACAAGCTTACTTGAATAATAATAATTAGACATTTTCATTTTCAGAAAATGTTTTTTTATGTTATTCTAATATCATTGTTTTTATTTCTATACGGCAACAACGTACGTAATTGAAACTAAATTAATATATACGGATATAATACTCTACTATAAAAAACGAAAAGCGGTCAAACTAAGTTGCCTAATTTATATTGTTCTTAGTTTATTTATCTTGGTAACTGTCTGGTAATCTCTTATTATATGATATAATGAGCGACAAAAAGAAACTTTTAATTATCCCATACTAATATTATATAACGAAAATAAGTCTGTATAGCCTATTAAGTACTCAGACCTTACCCGCTAAAAATAATTGTCTTGATATAGGATTTAAAGTTTGAATGTATTTCATTTTCAAAAATAAAATCATGAAATTTCATATTCGGGTGTGAATAATATTTGTTTTAGCGTTTCTAGTAATGCTGCCCAAAGCAACTATACCACGCGGACGAAGTCGCGGGCATAAGCTAGTATTTATATACAGGACAAACGCTGTAACATTAGCTATTGTAAAATAATTTAGGTATTAAAAAACAAACGTCTGACGCGACCAGCTCTCTTCTTTGATGTTATGGAGGAGCGTGCTGCAAAAGTTCAAAAGACACCAACGCACCTGATGACACTTCAATTTACTTCGTTAGAGACGCGACTGCATAATCTTTGTTTGATCATGACGCAAGGGTGAATTACGAACGGTACAAGAATGTGAACGATGCAGTAAGGGTGCAAAACAATGCTTTAATATTTCTTTATCATAGGTATTACGTTTGATATGAATTGAAATTATGCAGATCGAGTTCAACTATTCTAAATTCAATTCAAAATGTCTACATATAAAATGAGTAGAGAACAAGCTAATTTCACTTGGAAACCAACATGTTACTTACCAAAAACTAACATAGTAAACAAACATATATGTAGACGGATGAAGTAATTTAAATAACGTAAAAAAATTCATTTTGCCATGATAAGTAATAATTACTTATATATTCAGCTGCAGATGTACAGTTAGGTTATGTTACAAAATATTACTTTCCATAAATTTATTTTTATTCCACAGTTTTGTTTTTTCAATAAGATTCGAACTAACTTTGGAGGCTTCTCTTCAAACACAAAGCCAAATACAGCCGTAAATATCGTTATTATTAAAAACTAAAAACAGATTTAAATAAATGTTCCAAAACCTAGCCAATAATATAATTAGTTCACTAAGTTGTTTTTTTAGAAAAACACGAATTATGGTTTTTATTTTCTAACAGTTCTTTACACCTATTATTGTCCGTTATTTTTCCATCAATCCGAATATAAAAACTACTAAAATAAGACAAAAATTATAACTACTAAAATAAAAAAAACAACTCAATCATAACAACAAAACTAAATTACCCCTAATGACGCTCAAAGTGTGACATGTAACCTATTTACTATTTCCAAGCGATAAAAGCCATACGATGTTGATCTCCGGTGTTCCTCAAAAAGCAAATTCGTTATAATAAAAATAATTTTGTGGGATCCAAATAAAATTGTCAGAAACAGGGTAAAATTACTGGATGTTTAACTTCGTGTGAGACGAAAAAATGTTTCAAACACTTATTTAGTTGAAATTGGTGTCGGTAGGAGGCGTGGCATTCGTGACCACTAAGTGGGTGGTCTCTCTTGGATACATATGGCTATAAACGTGGTATTATATGGCATCGGTTCACTGATAATACGATCACACCCCGTTTATATGCTGTAAACTGCGTATTATATAGCGTCGCAATTGTACGAATGAGGATATTAAATTAAAAGGAGCTGTTAGCGGTGTCCTTTGTTAATGCCATGTGGTATTTGAAATTACTAATCATAATATATTAATCATTATTAATACGTCTTTGAAAATATATGAAATTAAATCACGATTTCATCTAAAACTTTAATAATTAATCAAAGTTTTGTTTTAAATAAAAGTAGCTGCTGTCACGCGGCCTCGTTTGCATAAATATAGTTTATATTCCCTGCGTACGATGTAGCTTCCCTTAGATGAAATAATTTTTAAAATTGATCGAATAGTTTAGAAGCCTTATCAGTTCAAACAATCAATGTTTCCTCAAATAAAGTATATAAGTATACCTTGCATAACAAGCTGTATGCTGTATTACATCAAAGCCAAATGGATTAAAACTCTACTTTCAATTTCTAGAATCATCATCAGCCTATTAATGTCCCAACACCCAGCAGTGGGCTCAGACCTTCCCTATAGATGAAATCGAATACCACCCGGGCGAAGTGCCGATTGGTCGGTATTAATGACTGCAGATGCAGCCGGGTACAACGGATTAACGTGCCTTTCGAAGCACAGAGGAGCTCGAAAAAAATATTTTTGGTCACCCATCCTATAACCGGCCATTACGAAAGTTGCTTAACACCCGTATCGCAGACCGAGCGTGCTAATCACAGCACTATGGAGCTCCTCCCATTTTGAGAATATAAGAAATGAGAATTCAATTCTACAATTGACAATAGACAGAAGTTGCCAGCCTAAATTGAAACAACAGCTTAACATATGACGGCTGGACACGTCCGAAGCCGCGATTATCATGGGACTAATAATTAATTTGACTTCTAGTAGACAGACAAATATCGGACCCACCAACTGTAAGGATTAATTCTAAATAATTTAATAGGTCTCTTCTAACCAATAATAAACATGTCAAGCAAACGTTAAATACTCTTGTACCACCATACATCTGCTGTTAACATAAACGGGAGGCAATCAAAACTAATCTTTATAACAGAGCGACAAGAAAAAGATTTAATATTATGAGTAGCAAAGGAAAAAATTGTCGACAATATTATATTGGAGTCCGTAACACAATCCGACGTAAAGCGGCATACCACGTCGCGGTTGCTTATCCGGATTTACGATTCAATACAATTTACGTTTGTATTTTTATATTTTAATACAAACACGACGTGTAGGTACAAATTATTTAATTTGTAATTCGTTTATAGTACTTAATTATACGGTGGAAGTCGGGTGTTTAATTTATATCAGCCCACCGGCGTCTCGTGACATTTATAGTAGTATACCGCGGGTTAATAAGCTTGTTTTCGAGCGACCTTTAGCGTTGTTTAGCTCAATAGATTATGTTATATAAAGGTCTGCGTTCATGTAATTATTAAATATAAATCGACCAAAGACACTATAATTTATGGCGAGGATCTCAATCCGGTTAAGGTATGATCTCTATCTGCATGCTTACTCTTAAATGCAGTCGCGATCGATCGACATTACTCTTGATTTGGTACACTTATGCCAATTAGCTCAATATTGCGTGCTTATTGAATGAATTGACTAGCATTGAGTAAGTATTGAGTCTATGTTTCAAGAGTACGAGCTAAGATTTTATGAAAAATTATATCCTCATGAGATTGGATTGAAAGTGAGATTGCGTTCAAAAATAAGGCTGCTGGCAGCACTGCGGCGTCAGTGTTGCGGCAAGTCTACTGCGTGTCGTATGATTCCAAACAAGGCAGCAGCCCAGTTTAAGACAAAATATGTTTATTTAAAGTAACTTTTTTCAAGCCCCCGTTCGGCCAACTTTCTTTACCCTACCACTCGTTCAGGACGTCTTTTGGCTGGTAAGAAGAACGAGCAAGAAATTCACCAGCTCTAATGGAAGTAACGACATTCACAAAAAGCATGTCATTACCAGATCAATACATTATAAATGAAGTATGAAGTCACTAGATTAAAATATAAACATCATAAAAAAACTATGATAACATATTAGGAATGACAATTTTGAGATATAATGACTTTAATAAATTACCTATCTAATTGCTGCAATATCTTACGTCCAAGCAGTTGCTTTGGGTTGACTAGATGTCGATTGAACACCAACTTTAATTTATTTAGTAGAAAACGGCAAAGAGGTTTCATTCCAGACGCGGATTTTTAAAACCTTTGTTATGGAATAAGAAAATTTTCAGAGAGAACTGTCGTTTGAGTACACTGCTGCAAAATATAGCGGGGCAAATATTACAACGCAGCAGTGCTGCAGCTGCATAGCCGTCTGGCAAAACTCGGAATGCAATCTCATGTAAAGCTATAGAGAATATATGGGGACCAGTGCTGAGTAAAAAAGAAATTCTATTAAGTCTGTCGGCCAGATAACTTTTATTTTACTTAAATTTAATAAGAAAAGACTTAGATAATAGGCATTAAAGTTGAGAAGAAGGGGCTTGCTATGTCACAGCTTCGTAGAAAATGTACGAAAGCGTGACGTCATGCGATATTTCAACTCAATGTATCGCTGAATTTATTGATTGCGCAAAAAATAAAGAAAATACCTGTTTAGTATTCTT